AGAGTCGGTCTTTATGTTCATCTCCGCATTGGACCCTATGTTTGTGCAGAGTGGAACTTTGGGTATCAAAAACTTCCCCCTTATTTTTTATTGTCAGGTTTTGGAGTAAATGCTTGAAATCAGATGCAGTCTTCTTTTCTTCTCTCTGTTAGTTCCCCTCGTGGTAAATGACTCTGACATGGTGCTTTCTATTGATTACACTCGACTCTTTTCCGTTTCTATTTTATTGTACAGTGGATTTCCCGTTTGGTTAAAGTACGTTCCTGGAATCAGCTTCAGAACTGATAATAAGCCTTTCAAGGTAAATTTTTCTTCATTAATTATAATCTGATTCTTAAAATTCTGTCAGTGGAGTTTGCAGTCAGTAGTTTTTCTTGTTTATTGCTCTCCAGATGGCAATGCAAGGGTTCACCCAGAAAATTGTACAAATGATGAAGAATGAAAAGCTATTTGCCTCACAAGGTGGCCCCATTATCCTTTCCCAGGTAAGGTTGAAAAGCTTCAGTGAGGTCTCCATATGGGAAGGTTAAAATATTTGTTATGGATATTGTTTAGAAGTAAGAAACAGAACTGTTAATTTTGCTGAAGAAGCGGCTCATAATAAAGAACTTCTCTGTTGCCATGACAATTTAAATTTATAGTCTAGTATATACTTGTAGGATAAATATTTTCATTTCAATTTTGTTTCTTAGATTGAGAACGAGTATGGGCCGGAAAGTAGAGCCCTTGGAGCTGCTGGACATGCATACATTAATTGGGCGGCAAAAATGGCTGTTGGACTGAATACAGGAGTGCCTTGGGTGATGTGCAAGGAAGACGATGCTCCTGATCCTGTGGTGAGCCATTTATTTAGAAAATGTATCTTTAAGCCTCATTGGAGAATCTTGAATATAGTTTCTCCATTTTTGGCGACAGATAAACTCATGCAATGGTTTTTACTGTGACGACTTCTCACCCAATAAGCCATACAAGCCAACAATATGGACAGAAGCTTGGAGTGGCTGGTACATACTTTATTTATCATTCCTATGGATATCCAATCTACCAATGGAATTACTATTTTAATCCTTCTATCTTAACACAACTTCTTACCCTGTAATAAAAGGTTTACAGAGTTTGGTGGTCCTGTCTATCATAGACCTGTTCAAGATTTGGCATTTGCAGTTGCTCGCTTCATACAAAAGGGTGGTTCATTTTTCAACTATTACATGGTTGGTTAGCATGCACTATTCACTTCATAGCATTTATGGACTTGTTATGCCAGACATAAATCTGATTTTACTTTGCGGGTTTGTGATTAATGAAAGTACCATGGAGGAACCAACTTTGGACGTACTGCTGGAGGCCCATTCATTACAACTAGTTATGATTATGATGCTCCACTTGATGAATATGGTGAGAAGGTTGAACATACTTTTTTTTTTTTTTTATAAATATTTGTTTTCAGAACATTTGAAACTCCTACCTTCAGATATAACCCATCCCTTTGTCAAAAAAAAAAAAAAGAAAAAGAAAGAGGATATAACCATATCTTCACCAACATTTGAACTATATTTCTCAACTATTTTCCCTGAAAGAAAATGAACTGCAGTTCTTATTTCTGTTTCTGGCCGGCAGAGCTAACTGCTTAATTACTTTTAGGTTTGATCAGGCAACCAAAATATGGCCATTTGAAGGAGCTCCATAGGGCCATTAAGTTATGTGAGCAAGCTTTAGTTGCCTCAGATCCTACTGTTACCTCACTAGGAGCCTATCAGCAGGTTGGCATTTTTAAATTGCATGATTTTCTTCACAAATTGTGGTGTTGTTTCTGAACTCAACTATGGCAATTTCTCAGGCTCATGTATTCTCTTCGGGACCAAGAAGGTGCGCTGCTTTTCTTGCAAATTACCATATGCAGTCTGCAGCTACAGTGGTATTCAATAACATGCACTACACTTTGCCTCCTTGGTCAATAAGCATCCTTCCTGACTGTAAGCATGTTGCATTCAACACTGCAAAGGTATAATAATGCTCCTTGTTTGAAATCTCAATCTTGAAATTTAGGTACATGTTTTCTTGTACATTTTCTATTCTCCCATGTTTTAAAAATTCAGATGGTTTTGTGCTCATCAAGGTTGGAGTTCATATTGCACGAACTCAAATGTTGCCTACAATTTCCAAGTTGTCGTGGGAAACTTATAATGAAGATACATATTCCGTAGGAGGCAGTTCAACAATGACTGTTCCTGGACTCCTGGAGCAGATAAATGTCACTAGAGATACCAGTGACTATCTTTGGTACATGACAAGGTGAGCCTGGAATTATATGGTATCTTTAGCTACCTATTCCATAGTATTATACAAATTTTTTTTATTGACATAGCACCATATAAAAACTTGATCTTGATGAACCAAAATTTTCGATCCATAACTGTTCACGTCTGTACAAGTAAATGGACTACACCATATTGCATAAGGAATGCAATTTGCTTCAGAATGTAGTGATGAATTACTTGTGATTGTCCTTAGTAGGATAGGAAACGCATATAGAATACTTTGTTCGTTTTGATTTTGATGAATTTGCGAACGTGACATAAGATATAATAGGGGCCTGCAAGTTATCAAAACGGTCCTAAACTACATTCAAATCTATCATGGGAGCAATACAAGAATACGCTGCATATTCTTCATGAACTATATAATATTGTAGGATATCCCTTTTGCATTGACAATCAATTTGCATTATATTCTAGTGTTGGCATCAGTTCATCAGAAGCTTTTCTCCGAGGAGAACAAAAACCCACTTTATCCGTGCAATCAGCTGGCCATGCTCTTCATGTTTTTATCAATGGACAGTTTTCAGGTCTGCCTTCATCCTTCAGATTTAGATTTTATCGTCAGTAATTGGTTAATGATCAAGAAATTTAGAAGTACCGCATGTTTCACTTGAAAGTTCCAATCAAATCACAGTTCAGTGAAGTTGTTCTGTAACATATAATGCAGGGTCAGCCTATGGAAGTAGGGAACATCGAGAATTTACATTTACGGGCCCTATCAACTTGCGTGCTGGAATGAATAAAATCGCTCTACTCAGCATTGCAGTCGGTTTACCGGTTAACTCCTTCCCACAAATCCCTTTTTAATTTTTAAATATGCAAGCATTTCAGCAGAAAGTACAACTTGACTTTGCCATAACTATAGTTTTAGGTGTAGATAGGTGACTACATTTTTAACAATAGCGAACTAATCTTATCACGTTAACTGATTGCTGATTCTCATTTTGTTGTTAGAATGTTGGGTTGCATTTTGAGACGTGGCGTACAGGAATCCTCGGTCCAATTTCGATAAGTGGACTTAATGAGGGAAAGAAAGATTTGACGTGGCAGAAATGGAACTACCAGGTAAAAGACTAAAATGTGTATCATCATTGAGGTGGGCAGGGATGCAATTGATTTAGTCTAATGTCCTTTACTGGGAACAGGTGGGCTTAAGAGGCGAGGCAATGAATTTGGTCTCTCCAACCAAAGCTTCATCTGTTGAGTGGGTAAAAGGATCTCTTGTTTCACAAAGTCAGCGACCATTGACTTGGTATAAGGTAAAATCCCTCAGAAAAAATGGAAAGAAGAGGTACAAACTGGATTAGTGACTCAAATGAGGAAGTTTAATAATTTGAGTTGGAACTTGCAGGCTAGTTTCAATGCACCAGGGGGAAACGAACCATTAGCTTTGGACTTGCGGAGCATGGGCAAGGGCCAAGCATGGATTAATGGACAGAGTATTGGAAGATATTGGATGGCTTATGCAAAAGGTGGCTGCAACAGGTGTACTTATGCTGGGACATACAGGCCATCCAAATGTGAAGCTGGTTGTGGGCAGCCAACTCAACGATGGTAACATTCTATATAAAAGAATCGAAATATATATGCAGCCAACGGCCGTCATGGCTACATGCATACACATTATTTTTCAGATGATCCATTGATTTTCCCAAGATGATTGCCCTCATGTTTCTTTTATGTTCTTCCAGGTATCACATTCCTCGATCCTGGTTAAAGCCAACGAAAAACATATTGGTGTTGTTTGAAGAACTTGGAGGGGATGCATCCAGAATATCACTTTTGAGGAGGTCTATGACTGGTGTTTGTGGTGAGGCAGTTGAACGCCATGTTAAAAATGAAAGTTACATCATTGAAAGCAATGGGGAACCGGATTCGCTTCACCTGCAGTGTAATCCAGGACAGGTCATATCAGCCGTAAAATTTGCAAGTTTTGGAACTCCTTCTGGAACTTGCGGAAGTTACCAAAAGGGAACTTGTCATGCACCAGATTCTCATGCCATATTAGAGAAGGTCCCTGTAACATCTTCTATCAAACATGCGCTCATTTTGTAGACTTCAGTGGACCAACAAAACGATTTTAATACTAACATTCATATAATTTGATATATCTCTGCAGAAATGCCTTGGACAGGAGAGTTGCTTGGTGTCAACAACCAGAGGTAACTTTGGAGAAGACCCATGTCCAAGTGAATTGAAACAATTATTAGTTGAGGTCGATTGTGCGGTAGCAGATATCGATGGGCGTGGTTCATAAGAATTTTTTTGACTGCCTGTATTCTTGCTCCATAAGCCAAGGGGGTCACTTACACGCTGAAGGTAAATTTCATTGATCATATGTAGAGCATTGCATATTATATATGATAAATATTAGTAATTTATCATTAGTGGAATGGAAGATTGAAGGTCATTACATTGTTTTTCCTGAAAAATCATGGTAGCCATTTGTGCCAAAGTCCCTGTTCCTAAGCGTTGTATTAATCAGATGAGATGAGTTTAAGTTATAATAAAATTATGTATTTATTGTCATTAGAGTAATTTTCTCTTTTGATGAATCCCCTTTTCAGAATCTCTCCTCATTTTAACATTCTGTTTAATTTGGATCAGTATTTTCATTAGCCTCTTGGCAAGTTACATTTTTCAATGTCCAAGTATGATAGTTTAAGCAGTTGGAGAAACCACTGAGAATGTTTAAAGCAACTATAAATTGATGCTCATTTTTATTCAAGAAAATAATGATGTTAACTTATTACATAACGAGTCCGGTAGCCTCATAATAGTAAACTGATTAAAAACAATCCAACACAAGAAAAATTCAAATTGTTCTAACTAAAAGAATCACTTTATAGCAACTCACAAAAGTTGCATAGACTTCCATTAGGCATGCTGTAATATAATCTTCTGCAACACATCTCTTCTTGCACCTACAAACCTGTCCACCAAATTTCCATTCTTCAAGAATACGAAGCAAGGAAGTGCACTCACTCCCCACTCCGCAGCAACAGTCTGCAGAAAAGAAAAATGATTGGTTTTATTTAAGTCTTGACAATGTCACTCAATTAATAACGCAAAAGTTTTGAAGTTTGAAGTGAGCAGGACTGAATCAACTTACAGTCAATTCATCAACATCGACCTTCAAGAATATGACACTACTCATCTTATTGGCCAACTCTGCAAACAGTGGAGCCATGGCACGGCATGGACCGCACCACGCGGCAGTGAAGTCCACAACAATCTGTAAAATCGAAATTGTTTAGAAAGAGGAAGAAAAAAGGCTCACAAGGAAGAGGAACACAAAAGAAATAGGAGAATTCGGAGCAACCAGTACCAGTTTATTGGATTGTTTTCCCTTGAGGAGCTGCTGCTTCCACGATCCAACGGTATGGCACGCAATCACTTCCCTCTTGTCCACCATTTTCGACCTCGAAAACAAAAGCACAGAGAGCTGTAACTTGTAAGTTGTAAGTGATTCTCTCTGTAAGATCGTCGTCCAACGATGAAAACTGAACCAATGGAGAATACAAACCAGAATCGCTCAATTTATAGTAGTAGGAGGAAATGAACGTGCAGAAGGAAAGCTCCATCTGCGGTGCATACGAAATCGACGCATTTGGAAGGCTCCGAGAACTCTGCTTTCTCACCTTCAAGAATCTGAACAATTTCCTCCAAACGCCCGTCGATGGAAGTGCGTTAGGCCAGACCAAATACAGCTAAAAGAGAAGAGCATCTGATTTTGCAGTTATTGCTACGCGGTACGCAACTATATAAGCATCGTTCAATCTCTAGCCATTCACACGAGCCCAAAGTTGCTGGGCCTCAATATGTAATATCTGGGCCTTTCTGGAGGAAATATGTGGGCTCGAAATGGGCTTCCTCACCAATAATGGGCCGAGTTTCTCAAATAAACCCAAATGAAAATGAAAATTCGTATCATCAGAGTCGTAGTATCGGCAGGTTTTCGGCTCTGCTTCAAGTTCTAGTCCCCCGTTGGAAAATCTCAGTCCACATCCTACATTCTCGAGTATTTCCTCTCTCTATATTATCCACAATCTCAATTCGACTCGGCCTCTGCTTAAAACCACCAGATTTTTCAGATTGGAGAGAGAAAGCGAGGGATGGAAATGGAGTGAAATAATTTTAATTTGTGGGGAAATTTGATTTTTGTGAGGCAGAGAACAGAGAGTAGAATTACAGTCTCTCTACAAGCAAACGAGCGATTTGGTTCTCTATCTAGAACACTTGGAACACTGGCAGCACTACAATGGCTCTCCCTCAGCTAATTCCCTCCTCTTCCTCTTCGTCTCTATCCCAGAAACCCATTCTAAATCCCAACACCATTTCATCTTCCTTAAACCCTAGCCCTAGATTCTTCTCTCCGGCCGCCCTTCGCCACCGCCGCTACAAGCCGAATCCGCTTAAGTGTTCTGCTTCGTCTTTCCCGGAAAAGCACCACACCGGTTCTCCGAAATCCGATGACGTCGTTGAGCTACCGCTGTTTCCTCTTCCTCTCGTTCTCTTCCCCGGCGCTATTCTTCCTCTGCAGATCTTCGAGTTCCGCTACCGGATGATGATGCACACTCTGCTCCAGACCGATCTCCGCTTCGGAGTTATTTATACGGATGCGGTTTCGGGTACGACGGATGTTGGATGCGTCGGTGAGGTCGTCAAACACGAGCGCCTCGTTGACGACCGATTCTTCCTCATCTGTAAGGGTCAAGAGCGGTTCCGTGTCACCAATCTTGTTCGGACGAAACCGTACCTCGTCGCCGAAGTGACCTGGCTTGAAGACCGGCCGACCGGCAGTGGAGAAGAGGATTTAGATGCATTGGCCAACGAGGTTGAATCGTATATGAAGGATGTGATTCGGTTGTCGAACCGACTCAGTGGGAAGCCGGAGAAAGAGGTTCAAGATTTGAGAAGGAACTTATTCCCAACTCCGTTCTCGTTCTTCGTCGGAAGCACTTTTGAAGGTGCGCCGAGAGAGCAGCAGGCGTTGCTTGAATTGGAGGATACGGCGGCGAGGTTGAAAAGGGAGAAGGAAACATTGAGAAACACTCTTAATTACTTGACCGCCGCTTCCGCTGTTAAAGATGTGTTCCCGTCCACCAGTTGAAAGGGAAGTCCAAGAAGTTTCCGTGGAAAGAGATTAAGCTAGATAATTGAAGCATAAGGTAGCAAATTGGAGGTACTAATGCTTAATTTTGCTTGCTTTTACACGTATTTTATACAGAGGACGGATGTTGTTAAAGCTGTAAATTTTGATATATAATTGAATTCGCTTCATCTGGTGTACCATTGCTTACACTCTTGATATAGAAATTGCAAATAATCTGAAGAGTTAAGTGAATAATTTGAGCTCTTGGCCTTCCTTCTTCTGAAGCCAGACTTCGATTTCACTTGGATATTTATTGAGAGGTCTATGGCTCTCAAAGCTGAACATCTAAAGATCTTCACATTTAAGATGAGCATCAGATGTTAGTCTTTCTTTGACGACTATTGTACTTGTGAAAGCTAAATTAGCTTCCTATTGTTGGGCAATGTTAAGGTTGAGTGAAATAGTTCATTATGTTGGACTGTTGGATGGTGAAATTTCTTGTATGGTTTGGTTTGTGATGATGAATATTGTTCTGTTAGTTCATTTTCATAGCAACTTAGCCAACACAACTAGTTTTTGATCCTTTTAGTACTCAGCCCACACCTCTCTTCTAAGCTACCACCATTACTTGCTTTGCACTGACCACCATTACTTGCTTTGCACTGACCACCATAAGTTTTCAAGAAACTTCACACACAACTTGTATTTAACATTTGCTTGAATTAGATTATTATTTATGGAGGTCGTGGAGATGGACGTTCTGTTTGGTTTGGCGGTTGAATGGATGCTGAGGATCTTTGATCAGTGGACCAAAGGTCACACTGTATCATTATCCCGCTTGTTTGGGACGAGACAACGATCTGTTTTCTAATCTGTAGTATGTTTTTCTCATTTTTGGTTATGATTGGGTGTATCTGGGAGTGATTTTGGTTTTGCCATGGTCAAAATCACTTCTCTTTCCATTGATCATATTTGGTAAATTATAAAACTGATTTTAGGAAAGCTCAAAATCACTTTTAATTGGTTTTTAAGATATCACTTGGATGATGATTTTGAAAAATCAATTATACTTGAATCAGCAGTTTGAGGCAATTAAGAGAAACTCAAAATTGTTGATTTGTAATGTTTCTATCTGACATACATTCTCGCATTTCTAACTTCCTTGCTGTATCGACGTGCATTTTGCTTGGTGTATTGCTGTGCTCTAGTTCTTCATGCTCGGAGTTCCAGATTTTATGCTCATAAAACTGTATCCTGGTATTAAAGATCCTGCTATGATCATTTATATGGGTCAAAATAATTGGCATTTCACTATAACAGGGGACCTGGGAGCCAGTAATTAAGCTATAGCTCGCTTGAGCAAGCAGGTTGCATAGGGCAGTTGTGGAACACTCTCCCTGTCTCTTTATTCAAGTTTTTTCTTTCGGTCAGAGCAATGTCTGATCTGATACTTGTATTTACTGGCTTGTGCTTGAATGGAATCATGGCATTGAAATGCGTGGGCTTGGCCCGTTCTTTCTAGTTTGATGGGCCTGATCTATCTCCAGGTCTTTGTATGCACTTAAGCCCAGTGGGGACATATGATCTCTAACTGGCGTGGGCAAAATGTCCAGTACCACGGGTATGAAATTTTTTTATACTATTTTCATTAATTGTTTATCAAATCTAACTGTATTTAAGAATGGTGTATGGTCCAAATAAAGTAATAGATTACTTAATAATGTGTCACATTATGAACGATATAAGTATGGGGCTCCCGTAGTATTAGAAATTTTTCCATGGGTATGGTCGAATCTCTCAGATTTCATGTTTGTGTGTACATTCCAGAAAACTAAATGAATAAAGTAAAATAATATGAAAAAAGGGTTTTTATTTGTTATTTTTTCTTTAAAAAATATTATATTCAATGATATGAGATTTTAAACCAATATGAACATAACTTAACAGTAATTGGTATCTATTCTTCCCATTGTTAGAATTCTCATACTCCAATTTGTTGGGAATGATATGGGGTTTTTTAACCCTTTTAACTCAAAAAAAGTTCCTGAGGTTTTGACTTCTTCTGCCTTAAAATTCGAATGCGTTAATTTCTAAATGAAACAGGAATAATCTATGCAGCTAACAAGGATGATTGAAAAATATCATTTTCAAACGTTTATGGGTAAAATGAAAATTAATTGGTTGAATTAACAGTGAGAGAGACAGAGAGATTAATTGGTTAACGCCGTAACTTCTAGTCTTATCCGGAGTTTTTGGCGAAGCGTGTGCACAAAACTTGCGGTAAAAAACTGAATATCGGGCTGCAAAATTTTCCGATACAGAGTCGGATCATTTTCATTTTCGTACCCTGCAAGTCCAAGACGAAGGGGGCCGAGACGGAATTCGATGAAAAATCTGCCTCCTCCCCCCAACGGCGACTCACCAATCTCCTCTGCGCCGCTCCTCTCTTACTCTTAACTTAGCCTCGCAATCGTTCAACTGCTTTGTTTTCGCCGGCCGACACTTAATCATGGACGTCGATCCCCGTCACTACGACCACAGAGTGAGTTACTCTCCCAGTCTCCCTGTCAATTTCCGATATCAATTTCATCCAACTTCACTGCTTATCCTCTTGAGATTAGTAAACTAATTGCTCATTTTTGTCATTGCTTGATTACTCTGTCTCTCATTATTTTGGTCAATTTGAGATGTCTTTTTTTTTGTTAGACCCTAGCCGTTCCCGACGTTCTTTCTGCAGTTTCCTAATAATATTGTTCTCTCTTCAAACAAGAACTACTGGAACAATTGAAATGGCAGGATAAGTTCGTAGTTCAGTGGTTCACTTCCCTCGTTAATATTTATTTACTATCTTAGAAAACAAGAAACTAGTTCTGACATCGGAGATCGGAGGATCATTTTCTGTTTACGTTAGTAAAGCTTCTATTATTGTTAATTGGATGCTTGTCTTGGGGAATGTTGAGGTTATATCAGTGTTCAACGCTTTAGTAATGTGCTGATAGGTTGATTATATGGTGACAAGTATGCAATTGAATAGACATTTCAACAACTGTCATCGAGGTCAGATGGCACAAGGTTGTTTGCTTCTATGTGAGAAATTTCCATTTCTGGTTCTTTTTTGGAGTAGAATAATATTTAATTTCTAATTCACCTTTTCATTGCGCGATCACCCTCTGAAAATTCATTGATGGTGAATAAGATGTTGATACTGGTTAGCGCGATGGTTTTCACCAGCTTGATTCTTATTAAATTGAAATGTTATTTACTTGTTGTAAGTACTAAGAGTTTCCTTTTTCTCTCGTTTATTGACAGGCCATCAGTGATGGTGATATTCAGAACATTGTTTTATCGTACCTTGTTCATAATTGTTACAAAGAGACTGCAGAGTCATTCACTAATTGTACTGGGCTTAAACAGCACACTGATTATCTTGTCGACATGGAAAAAAGAAAAAGTTGGTGAAATTTCTCTCTCTTACTAATTGGGACTTCTGGAGACTGTTTCTTGTTGCTCAAATATAACTCTACATCTGACTGGTTAATTGCCTGATTCCCTTAAACAATATGAATGATATGTATTTGCTTGTTTGCCTGTTTATAGATAAACTCTTCTGTTGTGGTGGCTTACTTTAGATATCTCTAGTAAGGAAAGTTGATTTATTTCCACTCTCTTAAGTGGTCCCTGAGTTTAGGAATGGACTCACTGAAAGGGAACCCAGCCTAGATACTGTACATGTTCCTTTTAAAAAAAATATTAAGTTAAAATATAGAATCTTTGAGCTTAGTGTTGATGTGTTTGTGTATAATAATTATGCTTTTATATATCCTTTAAATTCAATCTAAAAATTTTCATTGAATCTGATGGTAACTTTTTGTATTTTCAGGAATTTATGATTTTGCAATAGAAGGAAATGCACTTAAGGCCATTGAGTTAACAGAAGAGATAGCACATGGTTTACTTGAGAAGAATGAGGACTTGCACTTTGATCTTTTGAGCCTTCATTTTGTTGAACTTGTTTGCTCTAGGAAATGGTGAGCCTCCCACCATCATCATAATTATTTATGTACCATTCAGTAGTATCCAGATGGTCAGTGGGGCATTTGGTATAACAGCTCATAACTTTTGATGGTCCTCCTTATTTGTTTACATGGCAGCACAGAGGCTCTAGAATTTGCTCAGGTCAAGCTTGCCCCTTTTGGGAAGGTGCATAAATATGTCGAAAAACTTGAAGTGCGTAGCTGGTAGCTTGACTTAGAATATCCTCTATCTGTTATCGCCCCCCTCATCATTCGTTTATTCAGCAAGCTGAACCAGCTAAAGCTTGAAATACTAATCTTTAGGTCATTGTAGGATTTCATGGCTCTTCTTGCTTATGAAGAACCAGAAAAGTCTCCAATGTTTCATCTGCTTAGTGTAGATTACCGGCAAAGAGTAGCAGAAAGTCTAAATCGAGCAATTCTTGGTTTGTTCCATTTTTCTTCTCATGACTTTATTTGACATTTCCATTGATACTATTAGGGAGTTTCTTCTATTGCATACAAATTTTAAAATCTAACCTCCATATATTGAGTGATCAACTTCTTATTATTGTGGTCTTGGTTGATATCAGCACATGCAAACTTCCCGAGCTATACAGCAATGGAAAGGCTGATAAAGCAGGCAACTGTAGTTAGACAGTCCTTAAGCCAAGAGCTGGGCAAGGTAATCTGCCCATTTTAAATTTATATGTGCTGGTTTGTGGATGCATGTATGTGCTTGTGTTCATGTCTTAGCATATGTATATTTGTTGTCAATTTTCTCAACATGCAAACTATTTCAGTAACGGGAAAAAGATGGTTCTCATGAGTCATAACCTTATCCATATGTTTTATTTACCTTATGTACTTTACCGATGCTAATTGTGCCGTAACTTTTAAGTCAAGTAATTTTAGTCAAGGATCATATTTTTCCGGCTGAACATGTGATGCTTTTGAATTTGATTATAAAATTTTGCATTGGTTTTTTTAGGTTAATTTCATAGAAAATGGACATCTGAGGACATTAGTATCTTTTGCTGCTTGTTTCAATCACTACATGCTTTATAAATGATTATTACTCTGGAAAGTCTTCTTAAGAGAGATGTTGGTTACTAATCTTACATATTGAGACGTCTGGATTTGCAGGATGGGCCTCAACCATTTTCTTTGAGGGATTTCTTGAAAAGCTAATTCAAGGAAATCTTCGGGCACAATGGCGACTCATGGTTGTGGTATGGAAGTTTCTCGAGTTCGAATCACTCTCAATTCCACTCAATTCTAAGGTTGCTGAGTGATGTTTCTCATGTCTGCGAGTTCTTGCATTCGAAGTATGCTCCTGTCTTCATATGCTTTAGGGTGCCGGGTAGGGCCATAAATAGAGTCATCTGGGGTCCCCTGGGCAAAAGTTCATTTTCCTTTCAGTTGGTGACCTAGTCGACCTAATGCCTTGTGTTATTGTACATGCCGTCTCTAATTTTGTTGCTTGCTCTTTATTCTCTTTCCTTTTATTTCATTTTTTCAAAATTTACTATGTTGATATATTGGCTAGCATTGTTGTGTCTCATAATCTGGTTTTGACACGAAGGAACATAGGAGAAGGTAGAAACTCTACTTTGTTGTCTTATGCCATGGTCATCAAATGCTAGCTTTGTTTGTCACAGTGTAAAGAAAAGGTCTACATCATCAAATGAGTTGATCTAGTTTCCTCTTGATTGGATTGTCAAATATGTAAGAGTAGGACTCTTTCTCGGGAGTTAAAATTATGTGACTTGTGTTTCAATTACTCAAGAAGATGATGTGTTGAGTGTCTTTATCACTTTTTGCGTTTGACAACGTGGAGGTGCAAGATTGAATCGACTTCGTAGAAGGTAATAAAGGTTTTTTATTTTTATTATTATTTTTTAAACAAAAGGTACCAAGTGTCTAATTCACTCAACTATATGCTCCTATTGAGTGTTTTCGAAATAGACCGCATGTCTTAAAATATTTTAGCTCAAAATGGAAAGTTTTACCTTTTTGGCTTTTTTTTTTGTTACTTTCTCGTTTGATAATTACCACAGCCATCAAAATGAATGATGATGAAGATCGGACTCTTCCCAGTTAGATTTCACATTTACCTCATGCTCCAGGGTGAATAAAAATGATAAATCGAGTTATAAATAGTACCAAGTGAGAATGTTTTCATTCAGTCGAAATCCTGGACAAACAGGAAGTGATTAAATCACCGGCTCTATTTCAGAAATAGTATTTCTAATGTTTTGAAAATATTTTGAAATGTAGACCTCAGAGTGTTGGCAAATCGATAATGAAATAGATTAGAAGACGAATATCTATTTATAAATATAAACTTGAGCGCCAAGGACCGTTTTCTGATATTTATACTGAATCTTCTTTCTTACAGTCATATAAATTCGTGAGCTGTCAATCACACTTTTTTGTATACAGCAAGAGAGAATTAAAGAGTTCGACAACAATATTAATCCTAAGATTTTTTGAAAAATGAAGTCATTGATTTATCAAGCGCAACTTCTTATGATCTTATTAAGCTTTTGGAAATTAATGAGGAACATAATGGAGGAAATTTGCAGAGAATTGATTGTAGGAATGAAACTAGAAGTTTTCAATTGGGGTAGAGATTGGGCCTACAATTTGGGCTTAAATGAAGTTTGTTGGGCTTTATTTCAAATATCCAGTTGTCATGGGCTCATCGGTTCCCGGTGGCCCACCTCACTGTCTGTTCATGATTTCGCAGAAGACCCCAACTGTATCACATCTGCATTTTTCCCACCATCTGAAATTTTTTGGGATAATGGTATCAATTCTTTCTCTACCGTCGTCTTCCTCGTATGTTTTCCATGACAACAGCTTCTTCTCTATCGTCTTCCCAAAGAGGTGTGGTTCTTCTACTCTCTGTTACTCTCGAAATTTCTGGTCGATGAATTTTCTTCGTTTGGTTCCTTGACGGTGAGCTCTAGGCATATATCTGTTGTTCTCCAATTGTAGGGTCAGTTTTTAGTTCTTCATACACAGATGTATTAAATCCGATTGACCATTTCTTCCAAAAAGTTTCTGTTTCTGTTTGGCATGAACTCTGGGGTTTTGTTATCTATAGGCGTTACAGAAACAGAGACTTCACTGGATATTTGAGCTACTGCTCAATTAAGTGCAAACTAGCCAGGGTCGCTGACTCTTCCGCGAACTCAGCTACGTTAACCAAAGAACCCCATAAGTATTTTGATCAGGCTATCATCTCAGTGCGTTCAGGAGATGGAGGCCACGGTACAGTTCTTAGCGTGCCCAATCAACAAACTAGCAAGTCCCAAGGAAAATACGGTAAGGAGAAGGAGAGGGTCAGGAAGAAAAGTTTGTATAAAAGGGACTTTGATGGATCCCTAATTCTCCCCATGGGCGGGCGAGGAGGAGATGTGGTAATTTATGCTGACGAGGGGAAGGACTCGCTATTGGAATTTCACACCAAGAGCCGCTATAATGCGAAGCGTGGTGGCAATGTTGATGCAATGGGCGTTTTGACCTCGCAAATGCACAATGGACTTTCTGCCCCAACTCTGCGTATTCCTGTTCCTATCGGTTGGGTACAAACTTGCTAATTAGTGTTAAGCAATGGGATTGATTGAATGTGTTCTTGAAATGGATATGATCTAATTCCGCCCTAATTTTCTATCTTTTTTCGCCTCCAAATGTCTTGCTGGTTGATGTTTATACTTTATATCATAATTATCGGCTCTAGTTAAGGAATTCATTAAACATTTTCAATTTTACGATTGTTATTTTACTCTGTGTTCTGGCGTAATGATTACAAAATTTTATTGCAGGTTTTTCCTAATTTTGTGTGTGCTTGTATCTGTTTTTGTGCTATAGGTACTGTTGTAAAGCGTAAAAGAGGAAAACTTTTGGCTGATCTGGTGCATCCAGGTGACGAGATTCTTGTTGCTAGAGGAGGACAAGGAGGGGTATGATGGACTCTGTTTACTTTTAACTATAACAAGTTTTTATTTTTTTTAAAACGTTATAATATAGTTTTGCTCCATAAAATTTCAAATTTAGTCCTTGCCAATATGAGTTGAAAAAATTGACATGGTTTTCCAAATCTTAATAAATCGTAAGAGATTAAAATAAAATCTTTTGAAGTTTTAGAGACCAAATTAGTACTGGGTGAACTTCAAAGACTGGAAAACTATACTTTTAACATTTTCTTAATGATGATTATCTGTATTTGACGCTCCAAGTTTTTGTGTTACTTTCTTAGAATGAAACTTGTATCTGAAAGACTCCTGAACTCTGATAATTCAATAATAACAATAATATTAGTATTATTTATCGATGTACTCAATTTTACTTGTTTTGTACAGATAAGCTTGATAGATACACCAGAGAGTAGAAGGAAAAAGATGATGTCTCTGACCTCCAATGTGATGAGAGATGAAAGTGATAAGGTGAAGATTGTAAACATTTATATATTAGAAAAATTACTGAATCATGTGCGATAACAATGTGTTTCCTACCTTGATTAGGAAACAAGACTTTCACATGAGAATTAGTCAATATGAAATGATATTTCCTATGGAAATCCATCTCTTCTTGTCTTACAATTCTATCTCTGCATAGGTTTGATGTTTTTCTTAAATTGCTCTGTTATTTATATTTGTACTTCTGACATAACCTTTTTATGTTGTTTACTTATTAATCAGAAGTAATTTATTTTCAGGTTCTGTTATTTGGTCAACCTGGGGAAGAGGTCAGTTTGGAGTTGATTCTTCGAGTAGTTGCCGACGTTGGTTTGGTTGTGAGTACATCCAGTTTATTTTATTTTGTCCCTATTTTCTATCTCCCTGCAGTGTACATATCTCAGTAATTTATAGTAAATACATCTCTCCTATTACCCTCTTTCTTCAACGACTGCTTTTCAGGAACGTAACGGTGATTCCAACCATTTGTGGAATTCTGAGTCATGATTTTGAACTACTTTTTAAGATTGTATTCATCTAACTACAATCTTTTTCCGCTCTTGAGTGTTGTAGGGACTTCCCAATGCTGGAAAATCTACACTTCTGGCAGCCATTACTCTTGCAAAACCCGATATTGCAGACTATCCTTTCACCACTTTAATTCCGAACCTTGGACGTCTTGATGGGGACCCCAGTTTAGGAGCAGGGATGTATCAATCTGAAGCTACTTTAGCAGATTTACCAGGGCTTATAGAAGGTGCTCATTTGGGTAAGGTATTGTTGCATAATTTATCTTGTTTCTTGTTTTTGCAATACAAAATTTGTTTGGAAGCTTCAGATTTTCCAATCTATAAAGTTCTTTAGGGTCTTGGTCGCAACTTTTTGAGACACTTGAGAAGGACCCGGCTGTTGGTTCATGTTGTTGATGCAGCTGCCGAGAACCCTGTTGATGACTATATGACCGTGAGAGAAGTAAGTTTTCATCTCTGTCTCTTTTTGAAAAGTACACTGCTGTCTGTATTCTTATTGATACTTTTAGGTTGACTGCTCAAAATCCCCAATCGATCAACTGATTGGTTAATCATATGATGACATTTCTCATTATTGAATGGTATTTCTTTGATTAAGTATGAGAAATATTCTACAGGAATTGCGGATGTACAATCCTAATTACCTCGAAAGACCATATGTTGTGGTGCTAAACAAGACTGACCTTCCTGAGGTTCGTGCTTTCATGATCTTCTATTACTTGAACTTTGTCCATGAGAAAAATGGATGGTTACTGCGGTTTCTATTTGTAATTGACTTTTACAGCAACATTGTGAATCTTTAATTACCCTTTCAGGCTAGAGATAGGCTTCCATCCCTAACTGAAGAAATATTGAGAATTGGAACCGATGACCTTTTTCCTCAGCAAGTGGGATCTGAGGATGGTGCTCAATCATCACCTTCGGAAGGTGATCTTGCAACTGCTTCTTCTTTGGGGATTCCAAATACGGATCAAAAGGATAAAGAGATTGAGGACTATCCCCGTCCTCTTTCTGTTGTAGGCGTTAGTGTTCTGTAAGTTCAACTCTTAACTTGTTTAATCTTTTTACATGATCATGTCATTCCTATCTTGTCGATTAATTTTCTGTCTTTCTTTCAACGAGCTGGCTCGGCATTGTTTCCCTCCTGCAGTTTCTCCTGCGGCTTAAGATTCTGCATTCTTGTTCACCATGTCGTTTGAGTTATTGTTCATTTTCTCTTGTTGAACAACCAGAAGTTGTCACCTCCTAAACCCAATGAAAAAAGGTTTAGGAATGGGTTTAAACTATGATGTCCGATTATCTAAGATTTAGTATCTTAGGAGTTTTTTTTGTAACTAAATGTAGCAAGATTAGCCAGTTGTCTCATAACATTAACATTAGTTAAGGTGCTGGCGAAGACACAAAAACATTAAAAAAGGAAAAGACAGCACATCTTTAGATCACACGTGACCTGTGCCTGGAGCATTTATGTTTTCCTGGCCCTATGGTTTACTTTTCACCCATCACGAATTCTCCTGTAGGAGTTCTGTTGGAAAACGCTTACAGTATTCTAAATGAATCTCTGTTCTGAGTTTAAAGTACAATGGTTGAAAATTGAACTAATTTTCTACTCCTAAAAGGTCATATTGTTATCGTGTTGCTTTTGGATCAGTTATCTTATCATGCTAGTTTATAGCTAGGTCGCCATTGCAGTTCGTGCAATAACTTCCCTCTTGCCCTTGTTCTGTCATGAAAAATTAACATCCGTCTTTATGATTATCCTCAAAAACATCGTTACAACATCGTTGTCTTTCCAATGTATCACTTGCAGGAAAGGCATCAATATAAGTCTAATGTTGAAAGAGATTCGAGCAGCATTGAGGAAGTGCAGAGATCCCGACGGAGCGTTGACGAATTCAGGTGGTTAACTTGAGTCAGAAACAAGAACAACTACAGATTGGCTTTAAAATTTGCACTCCCCCATATACATGCTATATGCTATTCCACTCAATTTCTTGGTGTTCAGCGAGAATGTTGCACTGAGATATCAGCTGCTGCCCATGGTTTCCAACTATCATTCACTGTGTATATTGTTGAGATTTTTAACTTTGGAAGTGAGATTTTTAAGTTTTAGTTTTACTAACTATTTATTTCTTTATTATTGAAATTATATCAAGTGATCTCTACCTTATTATTTTATTATTACATCAATTGTTATTATATTTGTTATCTAAAATCTAACATCATATATTTATGTTTAAAAAGTGTTATACTTTGAACTGTGGTCAGATATGACTTTTTCATGCGTTTGTAATATATTCGACCATGTGAAATCTCGATTAATAGGAAGTGTCGAGTGTCAACTTACTGAAACAACCAACTCTTATATGTTATTTATTTGTCCTGTAAATGTCAAAGCTATTTCTAGAAATTCAAAAAACAGAATCTTAGTAAATTTTTATGAGATCCCATGACGTGATCTCTATAGAAATTCATGAACATATTTAATGGTACTCTGCTAATTTCTTTCCAAACTTTAAAATTAAATTGTACATTATTCTATGTATTTGAACATTATATATATGTTTAGTCTCTCAATTTAATACTATTAACAGTTTGATTGGCATTCGAATTGATTTTAAATCGCTTAAATTAAAATTTCTTAATATTTTACTGTTTTGCTCTTATAATCATTTAATCTAATCAAACCAAATTAAACTCTAATTCTTTCAATTCTATAAAAAAATATGTATCACAAAGATTAGAAATAATAGAAAAAATAAATTAATATGTTAGAAAATGAATATTAAGAACATACTTTACAAGAATCTTCAACTTGGTGCTCTGCTATTAGGGTGAGTGTGGTAGATTGGAAAGAATGAAAAAAAAAACTACTCCAAAAATTAAAGAAAATAAATTTATTATAAAAAAGAAAGAAAACAAAAACATGCAGGACAGTAGCTTGGCTATATGAATGGGTGCAATGTGTCACGGTCGTACATTTTTCAACCGTGCGGCGCCATGATCTAAGCTGGACCATGGCCAGCCTTACGAGGAACTCTAGCTCCAATCCACTTTTCACGCCCATTTGTGGCTTCGTCGGACCTTAGGCGAGGTTCTTTCTTCCTCRACCGAGCTTCACTTACAGCGGAATTCTCACTTGACTCGGCAATGCACGTCGCCCGTACGTGCATTTAAACTCTAACGCGACTCTAGCCGGCTTGCCTCTACACTAGGCCAAG